CTCTGATTTACAGATGGCTGAATTTAGATCTGAAATGAGCCATGCATTTCCGGGCAGAGATGTAAGTTGAGTCTCAAAGCTGGAACAGACTAAGAGACTCTCCTGGAGGCTTCACTGCCATCAGGACAGTGCTGCAAACGTATTGTGAGTAGGGACTAGACCAGAGCTGAGGGGCATCTCCACAACTCCTTCTAAAGCAGCCCATTTACATCCTGCATAACACAGGCCCATAGAATTTTACCCAGCAATTCCGACAGCGAGCCCAACAGCTTGTGCTTCTTGACCCACTTACAGGGCAGAAATCTTGTCAACATTGGTAAAAAGCAAACACACCCCCAAGGCCTTTTCTGAATTCTTTATTATGTAGAACAGATTATATTTGAACAATTTTTTTCCAAGCACTTTTTCTCCAGTGTTTTTAACATGCATTGTTACCCTTTTTATAGTCAATGTACCATCTGCTTCTCTTCTCCCTCCCTGCCCACACAGTACCCAGCTTCATGTTAATTCTCAACAGTGTAAAAAAAATTAGATATCTGGCATAAAATATTCTGGGGAAGCCCATTAAAAATGTCATTTAAAATGTTTCATATCTACAAAAGATCCATTATATATGTACATTATAGCAATGCAGAGGCAAAGGAACACAGTGCGATGTAAGACTTCAAAAGCTGTGGCTGGGTGGTGATTCAACCCTGGGGCTATGGAAATATGGGCCACCATTAGCTTTGGGGCAGCTAGCCTAAAGCCTCAGGCTCCATGGTAGTTATTTTGCTCTCTCGCAAACCTTTATTAGCCCCCTTCTGGAGTGACATTGAAAAACTGGAAATGCCTTTAGCTCAATACACCGTTAGGGGACTGCAGAAATACTGTCTGAAAAGGGTGTGGTTTGGCAAACAGTGGACACATATAGTGTCTGTATGGTTTACAGCGTGCTTCATTTGGTCAGCGATATCTCTATCTGCATCGACCCCTGGCCCATTCCTGCTGCTCCATTGACACACATGCCTGGCTACAGGTGAAGACATGATTAAGTTGCTAGCTGCCACAGCTTCCTGCATCCTAAAACCTCTCTCCCCCAGGCTCCCGCTAATCCTCCCTCCCTTCCAGCAGCCCAGGGGCAGATCACCAAACCTTGCCAAGCAGTAGCATGGATGCAGAACTGTAATGACTGCACTTGACCCTTGTGTACAGATACCTCTTCTGCTTATTAAACAAACCTTGCTGATAGGCAGGGCTGAACACAAAGCAAACCCAGCCCTCCCACCCCCAAGAAACTACATTCTATATTGCTTAATTACGAGCACAGAATATCTGCGGGTTAAGATCCATGGTATTCTTTCTAGTCAGTTTATTAATTCTTCATATCAAAAAATCACAGTTTAAGGCCTTTTAATAATACGCACTGTACAGTCCAGTCATCCCTCCTCCCCCACCCAACCCTTTTTTTGGGACACAGACAGAACAGAAGAGCTCTAAGCTCAGTACAAAGCACTTTAACATGAGGTAAACCCCAAAGTACTTCCCCTAGGCAGACACACTTCCCATGTGTGCAAGCCCAGCACACAAAACCTTTGAACAGGAATACAACTTGCAAGACTGGGAACCTTCACAGGAGTACAAGTCACCACAATTACACTTAGTTTAAAAAATGGTTTCAAGTTAAATGGACCACACCTGACTGCTTCTCTCACCTGATGGTGGTCACTTCAGTTCCAGCTCTAGTCCTGGGACAGTCACGTTAGTGATTTACCGGTACCCTGAGGCTGAACTTACGTTAAAATGGAACAGTCTGCAGCTGCCTTACTCTTCAATACACAGGTGCAACGGATATGTAGGTTCCAGCATGCAATGTTCTCAAAAGCTGAGCATAACTATAGTGGTTGAGATGGAGCACTGCATTCTGGGACATGTCTCCACAGGCCGTATTGTCTGCAGAGAGAGAAAGGTGGCCATGGTAGCAGTTTAGAACTCTGCAGGACACCCTCTTGTGTGTGATCAGATTCCCCATGTCTGTTCTCCCACCCTCTCCTCTGCTTCACTTGAATGGTCTGTTAACTAACCTCACTAATAGATGTATGAGTCCTAGACTGGAAATACCTGGAGGCCAAAAAACCTCTACTCTTGCCTCATTTAGGATACAAGCCAAACACTTTTCCAAAGGGGGAAGGGAGATAAAGTGGCAGGCAGATGGGAAGGAGCATTTCCATTTATATGGAGCTTCAGGAGGTCTGGAGCAGGCAAGGCTCAGACCCTTCAACCAGTGGGAGCTGCACTGGATCACTTTCAGGATCACTGGTCTAAAGCATGAGGAAAAGCCTTCCATACAGCAGAGAGGAGAAAGCGATGGTAATACTAAAACCTTTTCTTTGTTCATTGTCCACTGTTGGATCAGGAAGTCAGATTTCCCTTGCATGAATGGCACTGGGCTGCATTAGTTTCACTGGAACACTTCCCGTGCCTGCTTTCAGCAGGAAGGTGCAATTATGACAAGGGTGGAGGGTATTTCTGTTCTGTAGGTGTATAAGAGGAAAATGCTGCAATTCCCTCACTGAAAGATTCTACCTATCCCTGATAACTGACTGCAACAGGCAATAAGGGAGGGTGCAGAAAGTGCTTTCACCCCCACAAGGAATTGGACCAGCTCATGCCCAGGAGCTCTGGATTAGAGCAAAGTGTGCTTTACCAGTAACCACAGGGACCCTGAGTGGAAAAAACTTCTCAAGTTGCTCCTCAGAAGTAAAAAGACATGTGCACATCAGAGATACAGAAATCAAACAGTGTTAAAAAAAAAAATAGTGTGCACGCAGAGACATTGTACAAATGCTTGTCCCCTAGGGTACAAACCAAATCCTGGATATTTTGATACCAAAAAAATAAACAGTCCCCTCTCTCCCACAGGAACGAAAAGAAATAGAATGGTGACTACAGATCATGAGAACTTCATGTGCCTCCTTAACTCTAGAAAAAGATCTCCCAGTGGGGGAAGGCTAGTCCCCAGCAGGATGCAAGGACTACATCCTTCACTAGTTCACAGTGGCCTCCCTTCAAGCTGAGTGTAAGACTGTGGACAACCCTTTAGGTTTAATAAAACAGACCTCAGCACTAGCACTGTGTGTTTTAAAGTCCTCTCCAGCTCAGGAAGTAAGCTTTCCCCTCTTCCTTAACTCCATTCTCCAGATATGCTGTCACACAACAAGGGTCAAAATTCAGTGAAGGAACAGTACAAAGAGAAACCCTCTGCACAAGGCCAGCCTTAATTCTGTCTTGGAGCTATGCATCTCTTTATATAACGGGGGGAAAACAGAGTAATTTTCAATTAAAGCTGCTCATAAAAGTTGGCAGAGGTCTGCATCCTAAGCAGCCTCTCTCCTCCTCATTTCACTCTAAGAGCGTCTTTCATTTACTATTTCTGCAAGGACAAAAAGGGCATGAATTTTACTTCTGGTGAAAGCTTTGCAACTGCTGAGTCAGCAATCCCCCCCCATCCCTGGGTACAATGGCATCCCATTTCCACATGAAGGCAAGCATAGTCTGATGCAGCAGGGACCTGCTCTTTCATTTCTGGGGATGACATTTTCAATGGCTCTTGAAAGATTTCCCTAGCTTTTAAGACCTGACTAACTGAACACAATGTGCCAAAGCTCAAGCTCTTAACATGTTTTTGGAAGCAATTTATCTAGTTATCAGATTTTGGCCAAACACGGCCTCCTGAACATAGGCCTCCTGAACCAGAAAAAAAAAATCCCACTTCCCATACAGGATGCAGTACAGACCCCAGGGTGATCCAAGACTGAAATTTAATCAAGTGGTTTCCCAATGTTAGCTGGGCAGAGTGTGATTGAGCCAAGTCTTAGGAATGGATACAGTATTTAATATGATGGTGTACCATGATGTAATGGTTATTGCCACAAGTCATCCCAAACAACTGTCATAGAACCCAATCGCATATTAACTATTTTGAGACTTTTTAAAAAAAACAGCAAACCTATTTTAGAAATACTTTAAAGGAGTTTAATAAAGTAATGTATTAGATTTTTCATTACCCTCTGTCTACAAAGCCAGACTGCCTTAGCATCGAGAGACCAAATGCACAGGAAGAGGGAAAGAAATTAGGACTAACGTTTTTAGAATTTAAAATAAGTTTTCTGGGAGTTAGCATGTCACAATTTTAAAGGGCTATTAGGTTGATCACATGGGGTCAGATACAAGTGCCCTGTACAGCCCTGAGAAGCCTCAAAATCCCAGGTCCCCACTGACCTACAGCCTGTATTTCTGGCTCTGATAGCTTTAAGGACTGATTTCATACAAGCTATCACTTGACCAGGCCTGGAGTGTCTTCAGGTCTGGAGCTTTGATCAGGAATTCTTGGGATGATCTTATCCAGCTTCCTGCCACATTTAGCAGAGGGGAAAAAAACAGCAGCTATTTTTATGATAGGACCTTTTAAAAAGCAGCAGCTATCTGAGCTACTCATCGGTTTGGAATGTTACAAGCAGTCCTGGCTGAGAAGACTTAATGGGCAGAGTGCAGGTGAAGAGGGTCAAAGGGGCAAAATAAACTCAGATCATTCCAGGACTTTGCAGTTTATTCCATGACGGAAGAAATAAAGGAAATTATTCTATGGTTATCATGACCACATGTGAGGTTTGGACATATTGTATGGATAGATCAATTCCAGCAAACAAAACATCTTCAGTGGAGTGGATATACTGGAGAACTTATCCGTGGCTATTTCAATTCATAATTTCAACTTACATTTTTATAACTTCTGATTTTGTACTACTGCACTTCAAATCAACAAAAATGATTGTTTTTAGACATGAGACAATTTGCTTCTGAGGGTTAGTTATACAGCATGGGGCAAGATGCATAAGTCTAGGTCTATGTCTACACTACAGACCTTACAGCAGCACAGCTGCAGCTGCACCGCTCTAAGGTCTCCCGTGTAGCCGCTCTATGCTGACAGGAGAGAGCTCTCCCGTGAGTATAATTAAAACCACCACCACCCCCAAGCGGTGTTTTCCACACCCCTGACCGACATAAGTGCTAGTGTAGACATAGCCTAGATTATAAAATGGAGTTTCTATAAAACAGAAAGTGATACTGCTTTAATCCACCACATCGTATCTGCAGATCTGCTTGGCTTTAGTGATCAAGGAGTGCCACTTCTGTCAGTGGCACAGAATGAAAGTTACAGAACTACAATCACACCTAAAAAGTTATCTTTTGCTTTGCTGCACCAGACAGATGGACTTGATCCACACTGTGCTTCCATTTGAAAATTGAGACTCTCATTCTAAAGGTCACTGCCACCTGCACAGAGCATCATGACCAGACCAACTTTAAGAGCGACCTCCACACCAAATTGTAGATCTTGACTTTGCAGTCTCATTCAGTGCTTTGTTTACGACACTAATCTGAAAGCAATTTCACAAAATATATTGAGAGTCTCAGACAAACAAATCTGAACATGCTACATTGGAGTTAACTGCATGCTATGCACTAAGATTTCTTTTGCAGAACTGCCCCAAATAAATGTAGCTGCTCATTATACCCTTCTTACCATGCAATTTTGGTTCTGATAGCAAATGGGAGCTTTCTCCAGTAGAAGAGAAAGGTTTGTGGGTTTTAGTTATAATTCTGAGTATAATTTTTATAACCTATCAATCATCTGATCATCTTTTTACAGACCTGGACAGTTCTGAAGCTTGAGCAAAGGAAAGTCACTTGTACATGAGGAAGTGAGACACTAAATTCGCTTTTGGAAATGGAGGCCTGACTATGCCATGAGTTAGAGCTATGAGGAAAGTAACAGTGGCAAGATCTTTCCTATTCAGAAAGGCTCTCCATCACTCCCCTTAACGAGACAATACTTGGCATCAAACCAGGAAACAATGGGGTAGCCAAACTGGGGGAAAAGGATGAAGTCCAGGGAGGTCTCTTGCTTGTGGCTGGTGGAACTAGCCAACATTTTGGAGCAGTGTTTCTGTCAGTGACTTGTCAGCAACAGGTTTATTATTTAAAAAAAGCCAACTCAGGTTTTAGACATAAGTAAATGCAAAAGGAAAAGCAGCTTTGGTTGATTATCGATCTTGTTAAAAGAATAAACAAGTTATCAACAGTTTCTCTAGAAGGTCTCCATTGAACAAACTGGCCAACCCATCACTCCCTGGCAAAGTTAGATGCCTAACAGTGAAATTGGAAGTGCTGCCACAACAGTGCCGTGCTGCAGACACGACATTTCAGCTGGCACTCCCGAGACTAGTAGTGTACGTGGGGCATCTTTGCCAACTAGGGTCACTGTGATTTCACGGTGACAAATAAATAATTAAAAAAGCAACAAGAAAAAAAATAAAGTCAAGCATCTCTCTAGGGTCCTACCCTGAAGAGACAAGAATCAAAGCTGTTTTACTATTTACAAAATGCCATTTAGAGATGATGTGGCTACTTCAGTATTGTGAAAAAATGTCCTTTTTATGCTAAGCAGTCAGAAGTGTGTGGTTCAAGGACCGCGTGGCCTGTGCGCCACAGAGTATCTCGTGGGAGTGCCCCAAAGCATGTGGAGGGAGTTCAGTCTTCTGTTTCTTCATATGTAGTCTCATCAAAAGGCCGGTCCAAGAGAGGCACCAACCGGTGACGAGAATACTTCAGTTGCAAGAGGTCCGCAACTTCATCTAATTCCTTTAAAACCTGGGAGAGGGAAAGACCACGACACATCAGCAGAGAGAATCAGGATATGAAACACCTAATAGTACAGCTACCTCTGCATCCCTGACATACACTAAGTGCACAGGCTACGTCGAAAGCAACCCTATAATTGAGCAAGGTTTTGCCATGCTGCCCCTTGTCACAAATTAAAGACAATACAGGTCTGTCTCATCTTACGCTGGGGTTACGTTCCACAGTCAGCGTCTAAAGCGAAAATCACGTATAGTCAAAATTACATTGAGTGTAATGGCGGGCGGAATCGCCCGCACTACAGAAATAGTATTTAAATTGCTATTTTTCTCTTTTTTTTGTTTTGTTTTTGTTTTTGCCGACTGCGTAAAGCTGAAATTGCACATGTTAAATGCGCCTAAAATGCGACAGACCTGTACAAAGCTTCTCCCTAATCATTTGATTGTGGTTTTAGTGTAAAGCTGGCAATTGACTGTGCCTAGAGTATGAAATATTGTGTTTATGCACAGAACAGGTGTGAAAGACAGCAGCATGGCAAGCAAGCTTCCCCAATACTTCCCTGGCTCACACAGTGTGTCTTAATGCAAACCCCAAAAGGGCGATCCCAAAAGGCAATTCTCAGTCTCCACATCCTCATACTGTACCTCATTACAAGGTATATCCACTCCATTTAGACCCATATACCCCATAGTCACAAATACACAATTGTACTCAGTTTAGCCCTGTAAACTGACACCAGATATGCAAACTAAGTGGCAGAAAACTTTACACAAACACCTTACATATTTATTTAGTATTAGCACTGCATTTTCAAAAGTGTAAAGTTCCTTACAGGCACTAAGCTTATTATCAGCCTCTACTGCAAGTTAAGTCGCGTTGGGTCTGTCACACATTTGGATCTTAGGATGAGCCGCTCACTCTCGTTTTACGGAAATGTCTAACACAGGAAGCCCACTGCAATGGTGTTTCTTTTGCAATGGACACTTTGCTACAAACTGAACTAAGATCATTTCACACAGACCACCAAACAGCTATGATTTTTGGTCACCACTGACTGGAGTGAATTTTTTAGCATCACATGCAACCCTACCTCAGAGTCATCAAAATAGACCCTCCCCTAAGAAGAGAATCTATTATATTGAAGACTTTCCCTCATGATACTAGTCACTAGTGTCATGTGCACTATAGAACACCATCAGGCCTTGTCTATATTTTAATTTGCACCAGTTTACATAAACGAGGCAAATTAGCAAGGGACAGCTTTTTCTCAGGTGACATGGACAGAATCAGGATAAGTGATGAAGACGTTGCTGGCCAATCAAGCCAATAGTTCCAAAGACTTTGAATTAAGGGTAAAAATGTCAGTCGGGGGAGGGAGAATCAAAAATCAGTCTCAAATTTTAGAATTGGACTAAGATTTTTTTTTGCTTCAAAGACTTAACATGGCATTACAACGTGCAACTCTGCAGCAAAGAATCTTTACAAGACTAACAAACAGACAGCACCCGGACTCTAAAGACTAAATCATCAAAACACATCTACGTTAACTTGCTCAGGCAGCCAAATAGGACAACTTTTTCATAGCAGACATAACAGCTCAGCGGAATAGATAACTGGTCTGCTGCTATGACAGATTGAAGCTCTCAAGTAAAAATAGATATTTACTTCAGGCTTTACATTCAAGTTTATTATTTGTGCAGCATGAGTGGAGTGCGTGGCTCATTAGAGGAATGATTCTTTATTAGCCACATGCCCCAGATCATGCCTCTGCCACTGAAAGATGACAAAGTGGACCTCACCTGAAATATTTCTGGGAAAGCCACGCTAGTCTAACAGCAAGAGTCAAGGCTGGGCGCTGGCATCTTGCATATAATTGGGCCTTTTGGAATGCATGAATGGTTGAACTTGAACGGTTCCCAAACAAACAGCTAGGTCCTCAGGTCGTGGCCTCATCATTGGAAGGGTAAGTTCCCCTACAGATTTGCAATACTGTCTCAGATCACACCTATGCCTTCAAGGTAACACAATGCCACCAGCTCTTGCGAGTAATGTGATTTTTGGCCCCAGGAAGAGCTCCTGCCTTCACATGATTTTGGGGAAGAAGTGTGTGCATGCATGCCCACCTAACTCTCACTCACGTTGCTACACTGCCTTTCAGAAGGAACGTGCCAAATGAGGCACTTATGTAATCCACACTAACTGGGGCTCGGTGTTACCCACTGGTGGTCAGACCAAATGGAGAGATTTATGCCTCTGCTATGGCTTTCATGCTTTGAGACCTGGTGCTCGAGGGCACAGGCTCCTGCTTTTTATATCAAGAGGTCTATGTCCAATCTCCAGACAACCCAAGCAGTAGTGTTGTTACACTTGGCTATGCTCTGTAACCCCTAGACCAGTGGTTCTTAACCTGGGGTGCACACCCCCTGGGGGTGCATGATGCCCTTTCTGGGGGTGCGAGACATGCCAGATTTTTTTAGAAGGTAAATCATCGAAAACACAAATTAAGCACAGGCACGTAAGTACAACTACTTTGTTTCATCAAACCTATGTATTTATTAACATTATACAAAAGCAACAGCAGAAGAGTCACTGAGCCGGTAAACTTAAAAAAAAGTGTGTAATTTTTCATGTATTCTTAATTTTACTGCAAAATTAAAATAAATATATAATTCTCATTCTTTCATTCTATAGTTATGCTATATCTAGGTTTAAAGAACTGACCTACTTCAACGATTTTTGATAAGGGGTGCAAGAACATATTTTGAGACCAAAGAAGTGCAGGCTGCAGTAAAGGTTAAGAACCACTGTCCTAGACCATAGTCTACTTCCAGAGCAGGAACAGAACCTAGGAATCCTGGTGCCCAATGTTCCACTACTGTCTCATACAGTTGTGTAATCCTGTATGGGCTGGTCCACAGAGAAGAGTATGCTTCCCTCCACCAGTTATTGCTATAGCTGATGTGGAAGAGGTCTGTGTAGAGGGTCTGCAGATTCAAGCTCTGTTAGTGCCCCATGAGGAGGTGAAAATACACAAGTATAAATATTTAAGTGTATGGACACTAGAATAGTTACTGGAATTGTTTTATATTAAAAAAAATATTTAGAAGTGAATTTGCATGTTGTGCTAATGTTTTACTGATGCATTCTTATTTATATTATCGTAGCACACATGAGCCAGTCATGGACCCCATTGTGCTAGGTGCTGTACAAACAGAACAAAAAGACAGTCCATGTCCCAAAGACCTTACAACCGAAGTATTAAAAGGACCAGAAGATTAAGACAGGCAAGTTAGCAATGAGCTGTCCCTTTAAGAGCACAGTGTGGCAGATTTTGCTTGTGTGTCCTGAATAGACAACACTGCTTGTGTAAGCTCCAAAGTGATCAAAACTTGATTTAATAAACATATCTTTCCAGAAAGCAAGCCTCATTCTCCAAGATGTAATATTAGTGCTATGGGGGACTGGACACCTTAGGGAAATGAGCTACCTAGCTTTTCACCTGCAGGTCACTACTGAACCCTGGCCAGCTCAGCAGGGATTGAAGTTGTTCCCATCTAATGGATGTTTGACAGCCCCTATATGAGAGGAGTTTGATGAATCCCAATTCCAGAACTCATGTCACAAACTCACCAGCATGCTTTGCATTAGACTGATCTCTTTTTTTGGGGGAGGGACTGCCTTTCTACACATTTTTACATAGCCTTGCACAATGGGGCCCTGATCTCAGTGGGGTCCTCTACCAAGGAATTCTGTAGCAGGAGCCAAAGTCACCTTACTGTAGGTTTTCAAGAGTAAGCAATGATAATTGTCTCATACGTACTGGGGGATGGGCAGAGTTCAAAAGTTAGAAGAAAAACCAAAAAACCTGGTCTTCTAAAGTAAGTCATGATTTCTGGGCCAAGCTCATGGTTTCTGAACTTCTGGGGTTAATATTACTGTACATAATGGTGCTTGAAGCTTAAGCTTGTTTATACAGATATACTCAACCATTTCATGAGAGATCACTAATTCCATATGTAGGATTAATATTCTAACTGTGAGATGGTCTAGTCCAAATCTGCTCTTGAGGATGGTGTTAGCAAGAGGGGTTAATGTATTTCTACATGATTTACCTTCCTGGATCAATATTTCAAGTTTTTGTTTCTTTAAACAATGGCCCCTCATGCTTGTTATATCTGGCAGCAAGAGACTATCCGCTCCAAAATTTGGGGGAATGACAAGCCTGGAAGAAGACGGACTTCAGTATAATAGTGGGCATGTTTTACTAGAGCTTTAACGAAAGGCCCCATATGGAAACAATTTAAGGTTGAATTTCTGTTGAAAGAACTGTTAACTGTTATTCTTGAACTCAGATTTAGGATTTTATTAATTTTAAACAAAAAGAATCATGTGACTAGCAAAGACTACAAAGGAAACAGCACTGGTGAACTCTGACTTCAGGAAAGTGTAATATATTTTTCATCACCGAAAAGAAAGCACCAGCCCATGGGGATGCAGGTTAGGAGGGACTTCGCTCTAATCCAGAGCCAAATATTTTCAGGCAAGGAAATTTTATTTACATAAAACAATTACAAATTGTAACAGGGAACTGCTGCCCATTGTGTGGGTTTCTTTAATAAGAAAAGGGAAGCATTACAAATAAAATCATTTATAAGTAAAGCCTCCCTCCTCCATGCTTCCAACATTAAGTGAAATTTGTTTAGGAAAGTGTCAGGATAATAGAACTTGTTAGCTCCAGGCACCTAAGTGTAGACTTTACCCAATTTCCCTCTCCAGCCTCTGCTCTGACAAGCCCCCTGCTAGCCCTCCCCTATTCTATCACAGCTTCAATATTTCTTTGGTATTTTTGTGATCAGTTAGAGAGGGATCAGATCGGGTGGCCAGTGCTTAACCACTGATGGCTGTTTGCAACCAAACTCCCCCTCTACATCAAAAGACACAATAAGACTCAATTTCCTCTAAAATGAAGCACGTGGTTATTTTTGGAGAAGTTCTATATAAAGCGTTATTACTGTCATTGGCTATATTGTAGTTAAAAATAAACACGAGAAAATAAGATTTGAAACATTCTTTGGGCAGTTGAAATTGCGACTAGTGAACAGGATGGTAGAAGAAAGGTACGCTTACTACAGAGGAGCATGGTTTTGTTTTGAATGGAAGGGGTACAGTACTATTTATTCATTTATAATAGCATCATAAGTATACTTGATGAAACTAGTAGATGGACCTCAACCCAAAGTGCTTACTCTAAATTAAGACAACAGGAGGAGATGACAGACAGTGTAGAGTTGAGAGAGACAGTAAGGGCTTGTCTACACTTGAAACGCTTCAATGCTTCAGTACAGATGCTACCTAAGCCAACAGGAGGAGTTCTCCCATAGACTTACAATGATTTTCAACCTGGGGTCCACAGACTGTCTAAGATTTCTAAAGGGGTCCGCACCACCATTGGAAAATTTTTAGGGGTCCACAAATGAAAAAAGGTTGAAAACCATTGGCCTAGGTAATCCATCTCCCTGAGAGATGGTAGATAGGTCAATGGAAGAATTCTTCTGTCAACCTAATGCTGTGTACACTGAGGGTTAGGTTGGCTTAACTACGATGCTCAGGGATGTGGATTTTTGCACACCTTTAAGTGACGTAGCTATGCCAATGTAAGTTCTCAGTGTAGACCAGCTGTAAGGGCTTGTCTACACTTACCGGGGGATCGACCGCAGATCGCTCTCCCATTGACATTGCGTAGCGTGGACCCCACGGTAAGTAGATCTAAGCTACGTCGAATTGAGTTACGCTATTCACTTAACTCAAATTGCGTAGCTTAGATCGAATTTCCCCTGTAGTGTAGACAAGGCCTAAGAGTCTGTGGTCACTTGGGTGACTTGTATGCATGTCATCCTGTTTGCCTAGCTGATTAAATAATTGTAAGGGGACGAGTCTGATCAGTGAGGCATAGTTCAGTAAATCCTTTATTGAATAAGTAACTGTGGTGAGGAAAGATGATAAGCTTGCTATAAAACTGCACATGCATTTATGTATTGTGTGTACACATACCTGACTTATACCATTCTGTTTTATTGGTTTCCTAGCAAAGACAAAAACCAAACAAGTGGAATTCTCAGCTGCTGACCTAAAGGTGCTGTGGTAGTAGTGTGAGGAGGTTGGCTCTTGGTTTTTGACAACACATTGGAAACGGTCAGCTCACATGCCAACTCCTGTCTATTACACTATATAGAACTGTTACCACCTACTCATATTTGGGCACTTCTGAGACAATGCAGTTGGCTGTATTCCACTCAATACAGTTACGTGGTATATGCTAGTGACCTAAGTAAGCTGTCTAAACCGTGTGTGTTTAAATATTCTCCTGTTTTCTGACTCTACAGGTCTCTAGCCATAGAGATGTGATCTCAAGTGCCTTCCCCACCAGTTCCCCTTCTCTCTCTCTCAAAGAAAATAGGAGACAGTGCTTGGGAGGAGCTCCCAAAAGAGTTTCCTGGCAGATCCATGTAACTCAGTGGTTCCCAAAGTGGGGTTCGCGAACCCCTGGGGGTTTGCAGAACGTTACAGGGGGTTTGCCAGAAAAATTTCACTAATGGCGGCCAGAGGACCTCGGACATTGGAGGCAGCAGGTGGGACCCAGTTGCAGGGCAGACAGCCCGAGCCCCAGGGAGAACGGGGCCAGGCAGTTGGGGCTGGCAGCCCAAGCCCTACCCCTGTCAGTGGGGGAGCCAGCAGCCCGAACCCAGTGCTCTGCGTGGGGCTGGCAGCCCAAGCCCCAGGGAGAGCGGGGCCAGATGCTAAACCAGACCTGAGATTTTATCTTTCTCCAGTGGTTTCGGACTTCCAAGAGCTATGCAGAGCAAAGCAAGCGCATCCATCACACTGAGGAAATTTAAACTTAAATCCCTGGAAATATTCATTTTTAGGAGGGGGTTCATGAGATTTCACCATTTAGTGAAAGGGGTTCACGGGCTGTTAAAGTTTGGGAACCACTGATGTAACTTCAGCAGCACAGCACCTCCTAGAGCCATACTGAGGTACTGGGTTCAGTACCACAGGAAAAGCATCACTTGAGTTATCACTTTATGAAGCTCCTAGAAAGCTTTAATGGAACCACACCATGAAGCAGGGAGTCTGCAAACATGGGGAGCTTTGACATGGCCTCCGACCAGGTTACATACAGTATGCCTGTCCTTCAAAGACAACAAGCTTGAACAACTATCTGTTGAAATTAATTTAGTCACCAGAATAGGTGCAACGGAGCAGTCCTCCATCACCTGCCAACGTGCAGGTGGACAGTGTTCTGAGGACAGCGTTCAATCCTTCACCTCTGAGGCTTTAGCAAGGGTGACAGTTCCAACTCCACTTAGTCCTCAGGGAATTCTGCAATATTTTAAAATTCTGCAAAATTCTGAAAATTTTATTTGTCAATAAATAAATGTGAAGGCTACAGCATGGCAGTGGGGAGCACAAGCATGGAGATGGGAGATCACCCTGCAGCCTCCCGGGAAACAGACTCAGCGGTGAGGCTGCACCCGACCCTGACACTGCGCAAGGGCCGGGTCTGGCCTACCCCAGAAACACCCCGGGGCCCTGCCCCTCTGTGCCAGGTACAGTCTGGCAGGCTCCAAGTGTGGAGGGGCTTAGTGTGGGGGGATCCAAGTGTGGTGTGAGGGAGTTCTGTGTCGGGCAATCTGGTTGCGGGTGGCTGTGTGTGTGTGTGTGTGTGTGTGTGTGTGTGTGTGTGTCGGGGGGGGCGGGGAAGAGATCTGGATGCACGGGGCTCACTGGGGGGTGTTCTGGGTGCGGGGGCAATGGGACTCTGCAGAGGGGTCAAGGTGAAAGTGGTTGTGGCTGGGGGGGGGGGCAGTGTGGAGGGATGGGTCTGCGTGCGGGAGGCTCAGTGGGGGGAGAGTCCAGGTGCTGGAGGAGTGGGTCTTAGTGGGGTGGGGATTCGGGTACAGCTAGTTGGGGCTCAGTGAGATGGGGGTCCAGGTGTGGTGGGCCCGTTGGGGTGGTGAAAGGGTTGGCAGGGGGGTCCAGGTGCAGGAGAGGTGGGGCTCCATAGGGGGGAGGGGGCCACTGGGTGCAGGGGGGCTCCAGATGCAGGGGGTGAGGCTCAGCAGGGTGGGGGTTTGGGCAGGGAGGGGGCTTGGTAGGAGGATTTGGATGTGGGGGGGTCTGGATGCATGGGGGTTGGGAGGATGGGGGAGCAGCTCCTAATACAGTGACCCCTTCCCCCACAGTTGAGGAACTATGGGGGCAGGAAACTGGTGGGGAGGGGGGAAAGAGGATGACTTCCTACAGCTGGGGGAGGTTTCTAGGGGGTGGGTCTGACCCAGCCTCAGCTGCTGCTTGCAGGGGAAGAGCAAGTCCTGTCCTCCCCCAGCCCCATCCCATCTGGGACTAGCAGATAAGCCTGGCACAGGATAGGAGCCACCAGCTGGGGTGGCCCCAGCCCTGTCCCCCTGCAGTGATTCACCTCTTCACCAGTTGCTCCAGGCACCTGAAATGATGTGCCCGGGCTGCTGGGGAGGAATGCGTGACCACTTTTGTGGCTTCCCTTTAACTTCCCTGTCAGAAAAAAAAATTTCTGCAGGGAAGCAAAGAAGTCTCCTGGGGGACATGAATTCTGTGCGCGCACAGTGGTGCAGGATTCCCCTCCAGGAGTATCTAATGGTAAGTCATGTCCTGAGGTCAACAACACTGCACTGGCTCCTGGGTCCTGATTAGCTAATCCGTCTTTTCCAGCTCTAACTTCCAAGTCTAAGGCTAGCAGGAACTAACACTTGCCCTTCAGAAAGGCTTGTGTTCTTAACTATCCATAACACACAAATTACAGCCTTTTCAGAATGGAAGGGGAGTAATGGACAGACTGTTAATTGGCTCATTTAAAAACGTACCGAGGAAAGCCCTAGAATATGTACCATAGACAACCATGTATTGTCCAGAGGGGAATCTTTTTCCATCTCTAGTTTCTATGATGCTATGAATACTTGTTTGGCTTGTGTGCTGAACACAGAACCAGCCTGCAAAACCAACAGCCAAATGCTATCTCTGTTTAGGGAAGGCACAGACATGGATGAGAGGAAGACAAGATCAGACACTTACAATATCAAGTATCTCTTTGGTATGAGCTGCAGACACACAGAATCTGGCTCTGGATTCGATGATTGGGGTGGCAGGGAAACCCACAACCACGACACCTATGTTTCGCTTCAGCATCTCTCGCCCAAATGCACTGCAAGAGAACGCAATGAGAAATGTTTAGAGTGATAATGAAGAAGCAGAGACAGAGCAGCAGCATAAAGGTCTCAGTACACTAAGCCACACAGGCCTTTGGTGAAGCGTGCCTGCGAGGCTGCAGTTCTGACTTTCCACTGCCTTCTCTTAGAGGTAGAATGCCTGCTCACAAAGGCTTCTTTTGTTCAGTCCAGAGGTGGTCTTCCTAGAAAGGTTTCACTGTATTAAGTTCTAACAAAGCTGAAAGATTATATTTGGCAGGAGCTGGTCTTTTAGTGGGCTGCTTCTAAATGGATTTGTAACCTAAGCTTGAAAATCTTTCTGATGGAAAACAGGGACTTACACTCCAGAGTCTGACTATAAGAGGAATTCCCCCCTGCTGCCTACCCCCAAAGCAGAAGCCTCTGCAGTTTCAAAAAGGATTGTTTTCACCAGTGTAATGCAATTAAGGTGCATTGTGGCATCTGCTCAAAAGTTTTCATAAGAACCTAGCAATTGCCATTCTTGACTAGGTAGCAGACAAGATGGACCATTGACAGTATGCCAGAGAGGGTCCAGAACTAGACTCTTCAGAGGAAGGAGCAAGAATCTCCATAATGGACAGCCAGTGAATACCGTCCTATAAGGAAAGTTCTTTCCTAATCCTTGTCAGTCAGTGGCTGTTTTATACCCCAGAGGCATGAGGGTTTATAATCCTAATGTAACTGGAAGTTTCTACAATCCATATAAAATATCTAACCCTTCTTTGTACTGTACTAAGCTCTTGGCTGTAGCAACTTGCAATGAGTTTCCTGGACTTATTGTGCACTATGTAAAATGTACTTCCTTTTAAGTGGTTTTAAATTTGCTGCCCTTCAATTTCATGGAATTCCCCTTTGTTCTTGAATTAGGAGAATGGGGATGTTCCTATTTACCCATTCACACCTTCTTCGTACCATTTGTTATTCTGTGTACATCTCTGATACCCTCTTATTCATATCCTCTCTAATGTAAACAGCACAAGGCACTGAAAAAATAAAGAAGTACAACCTAGACAGCTATAAATCGAGGGACGATCAGTTTGAGACCAAAAGAACTTCAGAACCTGGTACCTCCCATGTGGTTCTGTGGCCATCACATCACCCCCAGTAGTGGCTTCCATTTCTACCAGATCTCACCTCATCTCTTAGCTGCATGTACCCCTCAGTCCCACATCTGAACCCAAGAGCAAAACAAGACCAATTCTTGCCTACAGTTTGGCGTTTACTCCTCTCCCTTTTGCTCAAAGGCCAAAAAGCCCCTTTAAACATCACTCTCTCAAATGCTTCTTTCCAAGTTTAAACCCAGATGAAGAGAGCTTCCTGAGCACTTGTAAAACATGGCAATATTCTACATGCAGTAGGCACAGAGACCAGGAAAAAAAGCCAGCTTCCTAACATGTCTGGGTCAAGTGGATGGATGGGGAATTCTCCCCACTGAACCTACCCAATTTTTGCTGGCATGTACAGCATCAAAGGCACAACCGGGGAATCTTCATTTCCATAGATGATAAAGCCCATCTCCTTCAGCCGCCTCCTGAAATACCTGGTGTTCTCTGCCAACTGCTGCACACATTCCTTGCCTGGAAAAACAAATGAAGGAAAAACCATGAGCAAAATGACCACCATAGATCACATGTACCACATAACTGTAGTTAGTCTTGTATCATCTGTATTATGAACATAGTTGGACTAGTTTTGTATATTAAAGTGTTAACTAAACTGCAAAGTTATTTAAAATTTGAACTGCAACCGGCAATTGTTTGCAGTATCTCCTTCCTCAGAGGTCCCTTTAACACAGCCAAGATTACTCTTCATTTTCTGGCCACACTGCTGCAGAATGGACTACAACAGATGACCCTTTCATGATCCTCAAGAGTTTAAATGATTCCTTAATTCTTCCATAATAATTAGGTTTGTACTGAGATTGTCTGGAAGATGGGTAATCACATGCTCCTATAAAAGATTCATGCCAGTAGACCACAGCTCACTGGCAAATCCACAACAAAGCAAAGTTAGTGATCTTGTGAAAGAGAATTTAGTAAAGAAACTGATCAACTGAGAAGATATTGCTACCCTTTGCCAATATGCTTAAGTCAAAGTGGCACAAGATAAAAAAGACAGCTATAAGGTAAGCACGCAAACCAAGATTTAAGCTTGTTTAAGGTTTCTATTTTCTGAACACACCATTACAGCAGAACAAACTAGAAGTTCAACCTCTGACTTGAAATGCAGAGTTGCAGATGGATTGGGATTTGAAAATCCAAAGCCATGCTTACAGCTGAATACTTTCAAGCTTCTGTCAGATGTATCCATAGCATGAGCAAGTTCAGCTCTTGAAACCTGACACAAGGCTTTTAAAGACTGCTTCAGATTTTTTTTCCCTCCATTCTTGCTGCGCATTGTGAGCATGCTGTTATATTACTCCAACTCCTGTACTCTGCAGTTCCATCTGCACATATCCTGGTCTCTCAAACAGATACATATGCATGCCTACACATTGAAATGATCAGACCTTTTACTCCAAAGCTCACTACCCCTCCCCCCTTCCCACATATCAAAAGTCTCCCACACAAAAAAATACATAAAATCTCTCTGCTACACAATTCCTTTAAAAGGATCAATGTCTTCAGAATGCCATGGTCTAAATAATACCCCTATTTTATATTGATATCATAAAATTACCTAAGACTGCATACTATCTTTCTGGTTCCTGAAATGTTCTCCACCAACAATCCCAAATGAGGGTGTCAATTTAACATTAGAATTATATTCCTAGAGACCCTTTCCAAAAAAGTCACAAAGCCAGGGCAACTGCCTTTTCCCCAATAGTTAGGGCTATACCAAATTCATGGTCCATTTTGGTCAATTTCATGGTCAGAGGATTTTAAAAATCATAAATTTCATGATTTCAGCTATTTAAAATCTGAAATGTCACAGTGTTGTAATTATAGGGGTCCTGACCCAAAAGGAGTTGTGTGTGTGTGTGTGTGTGTGGGGGGGGGGTGTCGCAAGGTTATTGTAGGGGGGGTTGCGGTACTGCTACCCTTACTTCTGCACTGCTTTCAGAGCTGGGCAGCTGGAGAGTAGCAGCTGCTGATCAGGAGCCCAGCTCTGAAGGCAGAGCCACCAGCAGCAGCAGCAGCGCAGAAATAAGGATGGCATGGTATGGTATTGCCACCCTTATTTCTGCACTGCTGCTGGTGGCAGCTCTGAAGGCAGCCCAGAAGTAAGGGTGGCAATACCACAACCCCCCTAAAATAACCTTGTGACCACCCTGCAACTCCCTTTGGGTCAGGATCCCCAAATTGAGAAACGCTGGTCTCCCCTGTGAAATCTGTATAGTATAGGGTAAAAGCAGACAAAAGACCAGATTTCACGGTCCATGATGTGTTTTTCCATGGCCATGAATTTGGCAGGGGCCTACCAATAGTATACTGGTCAGACTTCTTACTTAAAGTTTTCCTGCAAGAGAATATAATAAAAGATCATGATGGCAGAGTTCTTATTGAAAGTGATATCATCAAATGCAGGTAGAGAGATTACTGTGCCAATATGTATGCCTCAGAACCACTTACAATACAGGACAATAGGAAAGAGTACAGAGCTGGAGCCATCAACCCTATGAGAGGCAGTGGTGCCAGCTATTATGGAAATGAAGCCTGGGAAAGCACGATGGCTAGATAATGTACCAGCACAATTGCTGAAAGGTAATTGGTGATCATGGTATTGATCTCATGTGGAAAATTTGCATTAATGTATGGATGACTAGAAACTGGCCAGATGACTGGATGAAAGGAATCTTTCTGCCCTTACCAAAGGAAGTTACTGCATGCTGTTCTATTCCCTTCAGTACCATCTCCCTGATATCGCACGTGAATTAAGTGCTGTTCAACATAATTCAAAATCACAAAGTGAATGATAGAAGCAGAACTACCACCACAACAAGCTGGTTTCAGAGAGGGATAAGGCCAATGCAATAAAATAGCAAATATCGTTTTTAACATTGAAAGATGCAGGGAGCATAACCACCCACTGATAATGTGTTTCACTGACTACTCCAAAGCATTTGATACTGTCTGACATGATGGTCTCTGGAGGTTACTGGCAGACAGGTGGATTTGAAAGCATCTCATTGAAGTCATCACCAGTCGCATTGGTCAACAACAGACCATGGTACAAACACTGAGCAACAGCAAGTGGTTTTCCATTGGGCAGGCTGTGAGACAAGGGTGTATTTCTGTCCCCAAGCCTCTTCAATATGTACAGAGAATTTATTACGAGACAAGCCCTGGAAGGTTTTGATAAAGTAGAAGGAGCTCAGATTTCCATTGGTGGACACTTCTTAAAACTGACCTCAGATATGCTGATACGACACTCTTACTGCAACCACTGATGCAATGCAACAAACGTTGGGAGTCTGTAAAAACAGTTATCGAGGAACATGAACTATTCCTGAATGTTGGGAATATGAAATGCACATTCGTTGACATAATCAATAAAAGGAGACAAGCGGACATCACGATTAACACAGTCAAGCTGTAGAGGCAGTAGATGAATTTAGTTATCTGGGCTCACACACATCCAGCCAAGAAGGCTGCTTCAAAGAACTCCGAGGAATAGAGAGGACTCCCACAGCCATGGCCTCCCTTATGAAACTGTGACACCTTGAAACGTATGAAGGTTAGATCGGAGAAAAGCTTAATTTTTTTCCATAGCAACATATGGATGTGAATCCTGGGCCGCTAATGCTGTTAACAAGAAGAAAACCAAAGTATTTGAGATGTGGGGTTTGAAGACTCTTGTGTATCTCCTGGATAGAAAAGATTAATGTGTTTTATAGAAATATAAAAATATTGGACAGGAGTGGACCCCTGCTCTCAGAAATCAACAAGCACAAACTTACGTATCTCAGTTACATCAGGCACAAAGGTGGAATAACCTGAGAAAGTTATAATGGAAGGAATGGGTCATCGTTATAGGGGACAACCAGTGTGATAGATCGATGGTGTGCGGCAGATCACTGGGAGGTTGACTACTGAGTGTACAAAGGTAATAATGGATTGAGAAGGCTTCTGAAAATTCTGCTGTCACCAGTACTCAGATATGACTAAATGGATTTTACTTACTTACAATCCTATATATTTTTCCTTCATTCACCACCACTTGTAGGAGGAAAATTTGTCTATGGGGAATGTTATTTACAACAGTTATGTTATTAGTGGTACTCAGAACAGCATTCTGGTAAATTTTAGAACACTGCCTGCCCATGAGAAAAGGGCAGAAAGGCACACACTACATTTGTTCAGGTACCAAGGTTGCCAAACCTCCAGGATTGCCCTGGAGTCTCCAGGAATTAAAAAAATTTAATTAAAGATTATGTCATGTGATGAAACCTCCAGGAATACGTCCAACCAAAAATGGCAACCCTAGCATGTACCTGCCCTCTACCACATTTTGGTAGGTCCAATTTTTCCCCAACCAGCCACGACTGTGTTTTACAAGTTACACGACAGCTCTTGTCCATACCAAGCCACTGGAGCCCAGAGCTTATAGTCTCCAGGTATAACTTGGAAACGTGAAGGCAAACTCTCACTCACATATGTATCTGGCTTCAATCGCTCCTTACAAGTTACCATATATACAACCAAATCTGTGCTGAGGCATTTGCTGCATAAGGTACAACCAGTGCAGTGGCGTAGCTGGGGGGAGCAGGGGGAGCGGCTGCTCCTCCTGAGCACATTCCCCAAAAGTGGCGCCTTTTTAACTCACTCACAAAAAAATGCGCCACCTGCTGTGGCGTGGTCTTTGGCGGCAGGTTCTTCAGCGCTGCTGAAGACACCCGGAGCTAGTGAAGGGCCCGCCACCGGAGACCTGGAGCGCCGCCCTGTCAGTAAAAGCTCCGCAGCGAGTGGCATCTTTTTTTGTAAGTTAAAAAGGCGCCACCCACTGCAGCACTTTCACTCACCCGGCGGCGCTTTTACTGACGGGGCGGCGCTCCTGGTCTTCGGCGGCGGGCCCTTCACTAGCTCCGGGTGTCTTCGGCAGCGCTGAAGGACCCGCCGCCGAAATGCCGCCGAAGCCCCGCAGAGCGAGTGAAGGTCCCGCCGCAGAGGTACCGCTGAAGACTGGGGTGAGTACAAGCACCGCAGTGGGTGGTGCCTTTTTTTCTGATCGCTCCCCCCGTTCCCTCCACCTGGCTACGCCACTATGCATGCCGAAAACATGTCTGTATAGGCAGTGTAGACTAAACATCAGTCTATTCGACAGCAACACATAAGGATGCCTATTTGAAATTAAAGTACTAACAATTATAGAGTATAATATATATTTAAGTTTGCCTACAGAAAGTTTCACTCACTCACCTAACAAGACAGTTGCCATGGCCTTGGAGGACAAGTTAATGCTTTTATTTGTTTAGCATGGGAAGGTACCAAGGCAGTGATAAGACCGGGATAGTAAGATTTACTGTGGTCTATCCTGGATAAATTGCTGATCAGTGTCTTTCAGAGTTCTTGGAGAAGTGATCCCGTATCTTTGTCTCTACTGAGTGGACATTTCATCTGCTGAAACAGCAAGCGTA